AACAATTACTAACAAGTTTACTGTTATCTATCAGTACGTAAGTAGTTTATACAGACAAAGGAATATATATATATATATACAGTATGGAGCAAAGGGGTCAAATAACTGGAGGTTGCTTAACATCTTACTAAAGGTATCTTGGCACCCAGAGGTGTTGGTTTCGATTAGGCTGTTTTGTTCAATTGAGATGGCTTCCTTTATTTTGCATTTCTTGATGTTTGATTGTGTGTTTAAAATTACAGTGTGTCTACGTTGAAGAAACTCGAAGAAAATTGTAAAACAGATTCACTGAACATAATAAAAAAAAAACCTCCCATGTTTACCACCATTACAACTAAAAAAAAACACAGTATATCTATTCAGAACACTGTAATTTTAAACAAATAACCAAACATCAGCAAATGCAAAATAAAGGAAGTTATTCTAATGGAACAAAACAGCCCTACTCTAAACCAACATCCCAGGGTGCTAAAAATACCTTTACTAAGTTGTTAAGCAATCTCTGGTCCAGTGACTTTTTTGTTCTTTACTGTATTTATATTCCTGTGTCTTTCATTACACATTCAAGCCATTTCCTAACTTTATTTTCTAAATGCTGGTTCCTCATCATCAAATTTAACTACCTTAATCATCCATGGATTACATAGGCCTGCAAATTTAAACTTCATAAAAGTTGTTTTGGTTTTAATAATGGATTTTTCATAATTCAGCTATGCAGATTTCGAAAATCATATTCATTTTTTTCTATCACTTAATGATTTTTTACAAATCAGGAAGAAATAAAACTCTTACTTAGATCAAATTATTATTTTGTTTACTACAATGAAAATTTTTTATAATTATGTTTGTTAACAAAAATACAAACAAACTGAAGACAAGGGAAGAACATTGATGTCAAACGAATATGCATCCTCATTCATCCTGATTTTTTGTGAAATCTACGTGTCAAAGCTACATGTTGTGGTCTTTCTTTTATGTATTGTGTTATGATGTTTTGTAAAAAAAATCTGTACATGATGGAGAAAAATGGATATCATTTTCAGATTCAGCATACGTGAATTACTGTAGAACGTAAAAATTTCAAGTTGATAAAATTGATGTAGAGCGCTCAGTTGTGTGTATCACTTGAAAATTAAAGTGATTTTTATTGGTAATCATGCACAGCTGTAGGTATTGGAAATACCAGTATTGAATCATAGTTTGTAGTGTATCTTCCCTTCAGGGGCACATAATAATTTGTAACAATTTTGAATCTTTATGAAAGCTGCAAATATTATATGATTCATAACATTTTTCCAATTCACTCTATAGAAATTTACCTTACAAAGTGTCATTATTTTATGCTTTATGTTATATGCATCCAGTCATGAGAAAAATTATTATGCCAGCATATGATGGTACAAGTAGTAGCAAAAAAACGTTATGAAATGGTGATGTTTTTTACTGTTCTTTTCTTAATTTATTTCTTTAAAAATGTTATTCCCCAAACCAGGAAGCAAAAAATTTAAAACATTATTAATTACTTATAATTTTCTTTTAAACTACTTTTATAAAAGTGGTGTAATTACACTTGAATTCAACCCTATAGGAAGTTTGGGGATTTAGCTTTGTTATTGTCAGTATAAGTTCTTTAATATACTCTCCGTGAAACCAAACTTTGAGAGTTCCAGATTGATGATTTGCTGTTGAGCAGTAGTGAGCATATTTTAAACTCTCTCCTGGTATTAATGACTGCTTTGGTTATTAGCGTACAAATAGATAGTAATGGGATGATATGAGATCTCTCATGCATGCATTTTCACTTTAAAAAGATAAATTTTACAGTCTAAAGGTGTTTGATTTGATAGCTTTTAGTTCACAATACCTTTCTCATAACTGCAGTGATACACTAATCTATACAAATATTTAACTTCTTAACATGTATCTCATGTTGCTATGTTTCATATTTACAATGATGTCCTAAATTACACAAATATATAACTCCTTAAGATATAGACCATGACACCATGTCTCATATCTGCAGTTACACACTAACAGATACTAATTTTTCAATAAAGTAAATGTGCCTTTTTTATGTACCATGAGCATATTTTGATCATTTGAAGTTACATAGGTAATTAATGCACTCTTCACTTTAATCAGTCACTTTATTCTGAACGAAACAATTAGTTGAGGTTTACTTTTTAAATAATACCAATGTTTTTACTTTAATATTTTTCTTTACAAGACTTCACAATACTGGATGAAGAAAGAATATTTGATACTTCAGATGATGAATTTGAACTACTGGGATGATATTAGCATGAAATCAGGTATCAACTTATTGTAAAAGTTTGAAACATAGTGAATATCAACTCTATGTATCTAATGACTTGCTGCATTAAAGAGCCGTTTTTTTTTTTTTTCCTTGGGTGTTAACTGATTTCAATTGATATCTTTAAAGGCTCATATAAAAGCATGTGTCTGAGTTTACGTGCAAAGTAAACTGCAGATATTTTGTATTTTTTTACTGATTCTACTTGTGAAGGTACTATTTGTTACATGTAAGTTTTGTTTATTTTTAATTATTTCAGTGCAATTCTATAATATCGTGAACTTGATACATATAATCATATCAGTAGAAATATCCATCCTCTTGAAATTTTAACGAACATCTGATTATTTCTAAATTTAATGTACTTTTATTTACAGTTTACTTTCCATCTTGTATGTGTAGTATTTTTTTTCCCTAACTTCAATTCTAAGCTTACTTGCATCCTTCTAGTCATCACTCATATGCTGTATAATTTTATAATAAAAAAATAAAGAAAATTATTCCTAAAAATAAGATGGCATTTTTTCTAGGGACACAAAGGAACATAAGCATTGGTTAATTAATACATTTTTAAATTAGGAAAAAATATGTTATTGTAAAAAAACATAAAACTAAGCTTCGATTTTTGTTTTTCACTGAATTGAACTTGATTTAAGAATAAACTATGCACTTTAGACATTATACCATGACGAAATTCCTAAACCAGTTTGGAACACATGAATACATAATTTATAATTCTACAAATTGCAAAGTTATATATGTATATATAATTTTATTTTTAACTTTTAACAGATAGAATTTTTAAATTTTGTAGTATTTCTAAAGAAATAAAACAGACTTTTTTTTGTATAAACAGTAAAGCAAATGTTTTTTTTTAAAAAAAGGCTTACCATCCTACCAAATATTAACTACTATTTGTATAGCTAAACTTTATTAAAGTCCTTATTTTAAGGATTTAATAATATATTTTTACATTGTCATTTTCCTTTGTTAAAACTTCTAAGCTTTTTATCTAAGAAAAACTAGTGGCTTTATAATATGTAATATGCTTCGTTCCTGACTTCTCACAGTATCAAAATTGTTAATAATAAAGACAGATTTTATATAAAAAAATAAGCTTAAACCTATGATTTTGTTGTTCGGAACTTATTGAAGAGTTTATTTTAATTTTGAAAACTTGAAATTATTTTTTAGATTTTGTAAACTAAACTGTTTTCAAAATTTTATACTTACAATACAAAAAGGGTCATAGCAAAAATTGTTTGATTTAATTTGTAAGAATGATTTTTAAATGTTAACATTTTAGTCTGGGAAAATCTTTTTATCCTCAAAAATTGTTTTCACTCTCTTAGTTATTAATTAATGAACTAATTGAATGGAAACTTCAGGAATAAATGTAAAAAGCACTTGTAACTATAAATGTATAGGAGTGATTTTCAATATGTTTTATTGGTTACTCATTTCGTGAGAATATGCCACTATTTTATGTTACAGTGATGGCCTGTTACAGCAATCTATGAGTTTGGTACAGGTTCAGTTTTGATTTTAGTCTTAGAGACCTTAGAGCACTTCAAAGATTCTGGCACTTGTTTTAAGGTTCCTTAAGACTTAATACCGCTTCATTAAGTTTCAAAAAACTTAGATAAGAATTGCTCGTTGTGTAGGTGTTTCAATATGCTACTCATGATCAAACACATTGTTTACATTGTAAAATTGTGCAAATTAATTAATTTTTTTTAACCATTAGTGCTATAGTGATTTTTAGTTAGTATAAACCTTACTTTATTTTAGCACACTGAGAAGATGTATTTCAAATGTAGCATGGCTCCATCAAGGTGCTGCAACATGTACATCTACACCTATTGAAATAACCTTTGATTCATCACAGAAAAAAAAAAAGAACAAAACCTATTAAGAAATTTCTGTATCTAAGTGAAACAAAAAATATACTAGTGTTGATCACGAAGTAGGAAGTATTAATTGCAAGTAATTTTAATTGAGACATGCAAGTGAACCATCTTTTGCCAAGCAAAAAATAGATAAAATATACTTTTGTAGTTTTTTTTAGTCTATATAAAATGTGGTTATGATGCATGACCATTTACTGATTGTTGTTACCAGTGGTTTTTTTGTAGGTATAAACATATTTTGTGTATCAGTAGCATTAGTGGCCACAAGTCTCCATGGGTTGTTATTATTCAAAGTTAAAGAAATATTGGTAAGAAACTTTATAATTAGTTTCATGTTGCTGCTAAAATAGCAGAAAGCTATGATACCCATGTGGTAAAAAAAAATATATTAACAGTATCAGTAAAAAAATGTTATTGCATTGTTTAATGAAACCTGTAAAAGTACTGTAACTGTATTGGTAAAAAAGGTTATTGCATTGTTTAATGAAACCTGTAAAAGTACTGTAACTGTATTGGTAAAAAAGGTTATTGCATTGTTTAATGAAACCTGTAAAAGTACTGTAACTGTATTGGTAAAAAAGGTTATTGCATTGTTTAATGAAACCTGTAAAAGTACTGTAACTGTATTGGTAAAAAAGTTATTTCATTGTTTAATGAAACCTGTGAAAGTACTGTAACTGTTTTATGCAAAGGTTTGCTTACCTAATTAAAACTATTAAATCAACCAAATTGTTAATACAAAACTAAGATGTTACTAGTAAGTAGATTTACAGCATCTTAGTCATGTGTGTTAATGTGTAACTAGAAATGTTTACACATGTACAGTTCTTATTCTTTTCAATCTTGTTATTTTACATTTTTCTAAATATGAGAAACATTCCTGTGACATTTTAGTATCAGATAGGTAAACTAATCACTGGTGGTTACCTAAGATAATTATACTTTGTATTCTTAGGTTTTGTTTTCATTATTCCTTTCAGGTTTGTATTTGATAACTAATCAGTTATTCTTTGGGAGGACAAAAAAACTTAATTATAAAAATTTATAACTTTCACAGCTTCCTAATGTAGTTGATTGGTTGAATCAGATTTTAGCTTTAATTTTTTCTAAACTCATTAAGTTATGCATATATTTGCAAGATGCATTTTAATTGGTATGATATAATAAACTGGATTATTTGTGATTTAAATATAAAAAGGTGTTACTGCATTTTATTAAAATAGAACAATTATTATTTTAACACGATCAGAATTTGTTTTTGCAATATAAAATAGTGGACTATTTGTCTATTTTTGTTATATAAAATTTTTATCGATTGAACCCTTTCCTAAATTTTGATTACAAATGGATACAGTTGTGAAATTGTTATTTTAATTTTTTAATTTTGCTTTTTTAACGAACTATATTTATTAATCTGCAAGCATTCTAAATATAATTTGCAACAAAATGTATGAGCTTCAAAGTTACTAAAGTTAATATTTTGAATGTTTGAAAAGGTAGTATAATGTGAAGGACAGGTGTTACATTAGACATTCATTATAATAAGACAATAACCAAAAATATAACTATTTGTTATTAACATTTTCTGTAAAGGTTTGTATGTCTACTTTAACTCAGTAATAAACAAACTGCTGAAGCCTGTGTGTGTGTATATATATATATATATATATATATATAATATTTAAATGTAACTGAGTTCACTGGGAAAAATGTTTCTAATAAATTAAAGTTATAATAAAATGATTGTCTCCTGATCTTCTTTCAAAAATTGAAAACTAATTTTTTTGAGAAATAGTTGGTTGGAATAGCCCAATAATTGCTAGTGTGTTGACTAGTTACCATCCATCTAGTCTGTTAGTTCCAAATGTGGGATGACTAGCACAGATAGTCCTTGTATACCTTTGTGCAAAGATTTAAAACAAACAAAACTTTATTCAGGACTTTAGTTCCAATACTTTGTGGTGTAGTATAATTAAAGCATGTCATTTGTGTCTGCATTGTAAAATGAAATAGTTTTACCAGTAATAATGTTTTTCTTTGATGAAATAGACCATGTTATGTGTTTGTAAAATTTGTGTTTCTACTCTTAAGTATGCAGAGTCCAGTCATTTCTTAACACAGAACAAAAGTAAGTTATATTAATGTTTAAGTGTGTTGTATCTATATTTTCAAAGAAAGAATACTGATGACTGTTTTGAGAATGTTTTTTAAATGAATACAGAATACTCCTACCTCTATTAAAACAAACTTGTGATGATCTGAAATGTAACTGTAGCGTAAGTGAAGTTTGAGAAAACTTGTATAAGTCAGATGTAATCATTCTTACATTCCACAAAAGTTTGAATACTTTATATTAAAAACTTGTATCAGACTAGTGTAATCATTCTCAAACTAATCACTGTTGTGTTCCACAGAGGGTTTAGTACTTTTTATTAAGAGGTAGTTTTTAATATAAGGTATTTTTCATCAACCCTCTTTGAAACGTAACAGTGATTGGTTTAAGAATGATTACACCTTGGCTGATATTAGTTTTTAATATAAGGTATTTTTTATCAACCCTCTTTGAAATGTAACAGTGATTGGTTTAAGAATGATTATGCCTGTTCAATACCATTTCAACCCTCTCTGAAACATAAAAGTGATTGGTTTAAGAATGATTATGCTTGGCTGATACTAGTTTTTAATATAAGGTATTTTTCATCAACCCTCTTTCAAATGTAACAATGATTAGTTTAAGAATGATTATGCCTGGCTGATACTAGTTTTTAATATGAGGTATTTTTTATCAACCCTCTGTGGGATGTAACACTGATTTGTTTAAGAATGATTATGTCTGGCTGATACTAGTTTTAATATAAGGTATTTTTATCAACCCTCTTTGAAACATAACAGTGATTAGTTTAAGAATGATTATGACTGGCTGATACTACTTTATATTAAAACAATTTTGAATGTGCAGACTGGCAAATTATTGACAAACACATTTGATATAATGTCCCAGTGGAACAGAATGTATCAGAACTACATCTTGATATTTTATAGTATTTTGTAGGTTGCGTAATGGCACATACATTTGATCACTTTTTGGAAAAGTATATTACAGCCCTTTCCAACACAGAATGTTCATACTCTCAAGTTATAAAGATGAGTTTAGATCAAGGATTTAGAATTTCTAAAATGGGGATAACTTTTGTACTTAATGGTATTGGAACACAAAGAATTATGGATCAACTTTTAGCTCCAGGACCATTCAAAAAAAGACCTATAATAAGTCGTACTCCCAGCCTTGGTAAGAAAAGTGTGGCATCCTGTTGTAGATGAGAATCCACAAATGCAAGGGTCAGTGAGAAAAGTTGTCCACATTTCCCAAGTAACAATATGAAATATAATCAAGAAGGATCTCTGTCTGGAAAAGTGAGGCAAGTCACCAGATCCAGCACCTTTGGATTTGTATAAGATCAGAATGTTGTAACATGCTCTGAAAAACCATCATACGTTAGGTACTTATGGATAGAGAGGAGGGGTGAGCTTTGGACGTGACAGCCTTACAATGGAGCCTTTTGTAATAAAAAACTGTGCTGCAGGGTCCATTATGAAGATACACATTCATTAAATAGAGCATGAACAGCCTATAACAACACGGTGAGGCTTTAAAATTGTCTTATTATAGTATAGTCAGTCTCTGTATTGTCACAAAGTGATTATTCTGAAAACTCCAATGGCGTCAGAATTTGGGTACTTTTTTAATTTTATTAAGAACAATGAGAATTTTATATTTCTTAAACATTGGATTGGAAATGAAAAACAAAAGTGTAATACATTTAGTTTTAAAAGTTGTTATATTTCCCGAAGTCTATAAGAATAACGCTGTGAAAATTGGTATGGAGGTTCGTTCGGTCCATGGAGAGATACATACACATTTTCAGTTTTGCGGTTTTTACCACTACTTCACCCCCTGTTGCTGGATCTTCACCAAATTTGGCATGAAGGTTTGTTAGGTCCATTCGGAGATACTTGCAAACTTGCGGTTTCACATTTTGCAATTTAGTTTTTATGGGCGTTTTGTGTCGAGGGGACGGTACTCCAGCTAGTTTCGAATATATTGTTGCTAAGATAACTTGTGCTGTTAATGAAGCAATCAAACGTTTTCTAAGTGAATCAAAAACTATCTATTATCCTTAACCCAAGAAAAAAAAAAAGATTTTAGCCATGTTTGGCGAAGGCGAAATTCAATATAATATTCTAACTTAAGTGCAGTTGTACAAAATAATTATATAAAAATTAAAAACAAACAAGTTATATTTGTATTTTATGATAACTTAAGTGTTATGGAAACTAAATATTAATAACACTGAAAATTTGTTTGTAGTTAAGCACAAAGCTATACAATGGGCTGGCCATCTGTGCTCTGCTCACCACAGGTATCGAAATCCGGTTTCTAGCGTTGTAAATTCTGCATACATACCGCTGTGCCACTAGGGAGCAGTACTCAAAATACTAACCAAACGGTTTTGTTTAAAAGCTTGTTTTATCAAACATGATTGCTTCTAAATTTTTTATTTGTGTGAAGTGTTTGTCCGAAAGAACGACACAAATGAAGCTACCATACAGGGTGATCTAATAGTGCTTGCATCGCCATCTGATGAGACATTTTTATAAACCACTTATGACATGTTAATTAAATTTTCTGAGACAAATGTAATTATTTCTCTTTGTGGCAAAGTTACTAAGGCTATCTGTTGCCGTCTCGAATTTTTAACTACTGACCAGATGGAAGGTAGCTAGTCAGCATAATTCTACCACCCACAATCCCCGCTACGGGATTGACTGCCACTCTTATAACGCATCCACAGCTTAAAGTGCAGAGAATATTTGCAAAAAACAGTTTCTGGGCTAAATTTGTTACAAAACAGATTTGAACATGTATGGAATGAAAATCCAACTACAGGGGTCGAAGTAGTGGTAAAAAATTCAAAAACCCAAAATTCAAAACTGAACATTTTTATGTTCCCCCGCATGGACCTAATGAACCTCCATACCAATTTTATTGAAAATCCATCCACACCCTGCGAAGTGGTTACATGGACATAGAACAGACAGTACAATTATATTTATATAGATTTTAAAATTATATAAATATTTTACATTAAACTTGGCAGTCTGGCGGATTCTTAACGCAAAAATTCGGGGTTAGATCCCTGCAGTGAGCTCAGTACAGATAACCCTTTTAGTAGTTTTTGCGCTTAACAACAAAGAGACAATATGTTTACGGGTTACTTGGAGTACACGAAAGACTTGTACTCAAGAAACCGATCGTAAGTAGTTTGTGATTACAGCACATTTAACCCTTTAACTGATGATAGCGTAGGCGACTGCGGTTAACATCATATGACCCAAGCATTTTACGCGCAACATTTTGAATGGTCCGCCACAAATATTCGCGAATCTTTGCGCATGGAGTGGTAGGCAGATTTACACAAACCGTGAACGAAGGATTAAACTTGCAGCAGGGTTCTATGTGCTTTTACAGTTACATCTCAAGTTTTTTTGTCTTTAACTAAGGAGCTTATGGAACATGCAGGGGTGATAGTATTTTTTATCATGATGGTTAACAATCGTGAAAATATATTTATTTATTTTTTGTATTCAGTATAAAGTAACAGAAAGCCTGACAAGTTTACTAAAACCACATTTGTTAGACGTATACGTAAAGAATAAAACTAACTTTGAAATACGGGTTTCGTAAAAATACTGCTGGCATATTAATGCATGCTTTCCAGAACATTCAACAACTTTTAAGCCTGATATGCTTGCTGAAGTCAAAGTATGTTTTTACTTTCAGTAAAATTTTACTTCAGTTTATTGCAGTAGTAATATTACAGAATAGTTGTTGCTTTAACACACAAAATGAGTAACAACAACTGGAACAAAAGGGAAAGAAGGTACATTTTTAAAACAGGAAGTAACAGTTTTAGGTATGTGAACAATCATGGCGCCGTTTAGCCGCAGGACCACT